TGTAGGATCTTGGCAACGTCCTCATGTAGGTTCGAGCTCGACCCCGCTTCTGGTCCCCTCTGCTGTTGCTGTTGCTGTTGTGGCTGAAAGTTCGGCCGGGGCACAAAGCTGGGTCGAGGTTGTTGTTGCATGAAGTTCGGACGGGGTGGCTGAAGGGTGTTGGAGTTGTTTGACCACGAGAAGTGCGGGTGGTTCAGCCATCCTGGGTTATACGTGTTGGAATATGGATCATTGGCTGGCCGATTCTGATATCCTTGTAAGGCACTGGCATCCGCATACTGCTCACTGGGGTCCTGCTCGAAAGATGAGGGGCATACTTCGGACCTATGCCCTGGGACTCCACATGCCCCACATGTATCAACAGCAAATGCACTAACCGGCTGAGATCCTCGTGCGGTAAGCAACTTCATCTGCTCAGTAAGCTCAGCTAGTTGTTGAGCCACCATATCATTACTTGTTCCGACCTCATTCACTATTGCTCTTCTCCCTCGAGTGCTCTTTTGCGACGAGTTAGTACTCATCGTTTCGAAAATCTCATACATCTCCTCGGCTGTTCTTGCTCCAATATCTCCTCCTGCAGTGTTGTCGACCATATACTGCAAGTTCTGGTGGAGGGAATCGTAGAAACAATTCATGAGTAGCCCCGGAGAGAGGTTGTGATGGGGGCACTGCCGCTGGAGATCCTTGAACCACTCCCAAGCCTCGTGAAGAGACTCATTCGGTAACTGGGCAAATGAGACGATCTGGGACCGAAGCTCCTGAGTCTTTTGATGGGAGTAATACTTCCCAATGAACTTGGTGTACACCTCAGTCCATGTCGTGAGAGAGCCGGGTGCAAGCGTCATGAACCAGGCCTTAGCCCGATCCTTCAATGTCTCCGGAAAGCACCTCAGCTTTAACTGCTCGTCATTAAGGTCATTGAGAGGGAAAGTGTTGAGGACATTGTACAATTCTCGAATGAAGTTGAGTGGGTCCTCGCTTGGTAGCCCGTGGAATGCTGGCAGTTGGTTATAGTGGATCATCTTAAGCTCGTAATTTCGAGCCGCATCTGGCAGACGAATGCATGAAGTGATTGGCCCGATAACCGGCTGGGCCAAGGTTCGGAGGGTGTTACGGGGGCTTGTTGTTGTCGTTCACCCATATCTTGGTTGCTGCCTTCGGATGATTTAGGAGAATGTTCGTCTTCCCCGTGCGATTCCAGAGTAAGCTCTTCCAGCAGCTCCCTCAGGCTCTCGTTGACAGATTTGTTGATTGGAGATAAAAGTTTGCGTCCACTCCTGGTACGCATACACAAAGACAAGAAACCGTCACGAGCACCAGATAAATAAAGAAGAAAAACCAAAGAAAAACAAAGAACAAATAAAATCAAGAACTAATAAACTAGTAAAATAAAACGAAGAGAAACACTGAAAATAAAATGAAAGAGGCGCACAAAATAATCCTAAACCTTCCCCGGCAACGGCGCCAATTTGTTGTGAGTATTTTTACCGGAGCAGAATCGAAAGATTCGACACCGGGTCGTATCGCAAGGAAGGTTAGCTGGATTATTAAGCACGTTTACTCAACACAATTAAAAGAAATCAAATTCCTAAACATTCTAAACCAAATAGTTGGATGGGTTTTTAGCTATAGACTACTGCAAATAATTAAATAAAGCAGAGAAAGTAGTAAGCAAGGACGAAGAACAATTATGATAAAAGCGCTAGGGTATCGGGGATTTCGCTTCCGGTTCTCAATGCAATTAGCAAGCAATGAATTACTCGGCTAAGGACTCAATAAAATAACTCATCCAGAGATTCATTCTCAATATCTCACGAAACAAGAGAATAAACATGAACAAATCATTAACGAATCAATTAGCACATAGACAATACGCTACCGAACAAGCCTATTCTTAACGAGCCTAGATCGAACAATTTATCCCCTTTCGGTTTCTAAATTGATTAATTAGATTAAGATGGAGATCAAGCATCTAAACCCTAGGTTAAGCACAACTCGGAAAGATGAGCAATTACCAAGCATTTAAACGAAATCGAACCGGACCGATAATCCCCTACCCCTAGCTAATGAATTTAGCTACTCATCATGCATTCAACATCAACATATTCAATAATAAAAGCCATCTCAATTGAAAGGAAAACGAAAGTAAAGCTTACGATTAACGAATCCAATGTCGAGAACAATAGAAAAACCAAATCCAAGAGTCAAATCTCTAAGTTTTCACCCTCAAGATTGATCCCCAAGACAAAAACGTGAAAAATATAGGTTCTGGAACTTTTTTCGTACGAGAAAGAACAAAACCTAACATAGAACATAATGAAAAACGATCCCAAAATCTGACATAAAAAATCTGAAAGTCGCGGCCTTCGCGGGCCGCGGAGAATCTCGCGGGCCGCGGCGAAGAAGCTTCCGCGGCCGCGACAAAGTCCGAGGCCGCGACCAAATTCAAGCTGGAGGTGGGAGTCTGCGGCACTTTGTTCGCTGCGGTCGCAGCGAAGGACAGGTCGCGGGCCGTGGCGACTAAAACTGGGCACTGGGAGGATTTGCTCACCGCGGTCGCGGGAACACCGTCGCGGGCCGCGGTGAAGGATTTCGGTGATCCGGCTGTGATTTCCGGCTCGAGTCTACGCATCTGGGCCCGGAATTGGATTCCATCTTTTCCCACTCGACCTCAACTCATCCATCTATGTAGTAGTCCACGCATGGTCATTCATCGAGCGATTCATCCTGCACACCACCAACAAGAAACGTACGGAAAAACCGAAGAAAAGAAACAAAAAGACCAAAAACGAACAAAACAAAGGAAACGCAAGACGAGACTCAAAATAGGCCAAAAGCCAAAAAGAAATACCTAAAGTGGGAAAAATAAACATAAAATAAACACGAAAACACTAACAAAAATGGAACGAACAACTCCCCCACACTAAAACCATTGTTCGTCCCGAACAATAAAAAGAACAGAAAAAGCAATAAAACAAGCAAAAAGAGTGGACACTGGTTTCAAACGAGAAAAGTCTCAGATTGATCAACTAAGTTAAAAAGAATTCCAATGATCTCGAGAACACACTTCAACAATGAACTCAATCACATGATAACACAAACTCTCT